ACGTTGTGAAGGGTGCTGCACTCAAACCACCCATCACCTAGTCAATTTGGTTTGTGCACGGTACATGCGACCTTCCTTTCCAATTAAATAGTGATGATCAAGATCGCAGTTTCTAACTTTGCATGTGTGTATTTGAAGTTGGTTCGCATCGTTCATAGCCAACCCTGCTAATGAGTGTTGTGTAAAAGGAAAACACCTTTCAATTGATTACTTCCCCACATCGCTGCAACAGGCAGATTCAACCTATAGCAGTAGGCACACCGGAAGTCCCAAAGCACTGAGACGGCACTACTCAAGATCACTAATTACCTCTACAAGGTCATGGATCACCGGTGCGCCACAGCATTGGTTGGCCTCGATCTCTCAGCCATCACCATCGACCATGATCAAGGTTCGGTGAATCGGGTATGGCACTGAAGCAGGTTGAGTCATACCTACATGGTAAATCACAGTTCGTGAAGCTGGGTGATGAATAGTCACCGCCTGTGCCGTGCCTAGTTGGTGTAACACGGGTCCGTTATCGGGCCTTTCCTATTTTAAACATGTCTCTCCAATCGCCGATGTCATCTCATCGCATGACATCAAGTTCCATCAATATGTTGATATACAATTTTACACCACAGTGAAGTCAAAGTCAGATATAGAGAACCTCAGTAACCTCCAAGATTGCGTGCAAGCGGTGCACGTGTGGTTTGCATGTGTAGTGGCATAGCACTGGCAGCTGTCAGAAAAGGGAATCTGCGGAATATACGGCAGTCCTGACGTCAGGCCAGGATATACACGAGAGGGGGATCTAGGGGAAAAGTCACAGACGGGGCACACCAGGAACCCTCTAGTAGGTTCCAGAAAGGGGGCGTGGCCGGGGGCAGAGCGAGGCCACGCTGACAGTATAAGAGGGGCCCCTGTGGGGGACCTCGGGCCTCTTGTTGGAGTGGGATCCCCCTCGTGCGTCCATCGTCGCCATTCTTCTCGTCGTCTTCACCATTCTTCTCGTCGTCGTCTTCGTCTTTACCATCTCGGGGCACCGCCAGACAGCCTACCAACTGTCCTGGCTGATTAGCGTCGCCGATAATAGACGGACTAAATATTAAGTGTGTTATTCCCGATGGTGCTCCTTAATAAATAAGTGCCTCCAAGTCTTATCGTCTCCGAGTTATTTACTACACATGTGTGATGACGCTCAGAAAACTTCTGTCTTCTTTATTAGGGCGCATCACGCAGATAAAGTACTCTCATATCCTACAGTACTTAGCTATGACTAGCATACAGTACTTGGGCTAGAATAACAACAGGTACTTTAGCTAGGATAACGACAGATACTTGAGCTAGGATAACGACAGACACTTGAGCTAGGATAAGATACTTTGGCTAGGATAACGACATACTTTGGCTAGGATAACGACAGATGCTTGGGCTAGGATAACGACAGATACTTGGGCTAGGATAACGACAGATACTTGGGCTAGGATAACAACAGATACTTGGGCTAGGATAACAATAGGTACTTGAGCTAGGATAACGACAGATACTTGGGCTAGGACAGCACCCAAGCAACGACCGCACGGAGACAGCGGCGGTGTAGAGACAGTCCATCCCGATCCCAGGGGCAGCCTCCGCCTTATATTCCCCTTGGTGTGGCCTTGCCACGCCCCCGGCCACACCTTCTTTCCCAAACTGTCTCAGCTAATCCTAAACATCCCCCCATGGTTCCCGCCTGTAATTCCTCGTGACCACCTGGCCACGCACGCCAATCCCAACATCTCCCCATGCTTTCCTCCTGTAATTATCCCTCGTGAACCACCTTGCAATGCGCTGTCCCTATCCCCTCATTATCCACCCACGCACCGTCTCTTTCCGCACTGTCCCTACACATGGAACTAAATTAGCTTAATCCAGAAAAATTGTAAGTTCTATTGGTTGGCACTTAGGCTCTTGCGAAATTAATTGTGCGAGGATCAGGTGTGGCGTTTGCAGACTCCAGAATTCAGTTTTCTCTGCGTCAAAAGGGCCTCTCACCAGACTCAACCAGAATGTCGTTTGATCACGTGCAAAATATGGTCAGGTCTTGCAGTTTTCATGAGGCTTCTACAACACATTTGACCACCTTTGAGTCGTGACATAGCCAACACAGTGGTGTGTAACATTGTATCAATAAGGTTTGATTATTCAACTCACTACCCTACGGGACGTCTGACATAAACATTACCAAGCTGCAGTATGTACACACTTCTCTAGCACATGTCATGATGGGTGCCGCAAGATCCGACCATGTCTATCCAGTGCTCGCTGAGCTGCATCAGTTTCCGGTTGCCGAACGAATACATCAAGGTCGTACTCATGACACACAAAGTGCTTGCCACAAAAGAACCACAATACCTTGCGGATCTCGTCAAGGAGCATGAACCACGCGAATCCCGGTCATCCTTGCAGCGGCTTTTGGCTAGCCATCAAACAAAGACAGTCACTGCATCGCACGCTTTCAAATGCGCTTCTGCGACCGTCTTGAATGCCCTTCTTTCCGATATTAGAAAGCCAGTGGAGCTATGCATTTTTAAATGATCTTGATTGAAAACTAATTTCTTTAAAACTCCTTTTTGTGTTCGGTTGTCCTTCCGATTAGCACGGTTGGCTTCGTACAGTGCGACATACATTGTACACAATACATTTTAGGTAAGGAATAAGTAATGCATAAATAGTTTACTTAGCCACTTGCTCAATTAGTATGCATTCACTCCAAACAAATAGTACTTCCGAAAACAGACCTGTGTTGGAAAGCGCTACAGATCCATATATATACCTTTTTTACTTCTATAATGACAAAAGATTTCTTAGTATAGCATATTTCATGCTAACTGCCCCTCAGATCACTGCACAATCCGTAAACACTAAGGGGTATTTGTATTGTTTTCAGTTTATCATTAAGCATTTGTATTTTTGGAGGAAACTGGAGTACCTGGAGAGGACCCATGCACGCGAGGGGGAAACGCTATCCAAACAGAGAAGCGACAATTGACATTAGTCCGCTCTTTGCTGTACCGCCTTTTCCTGGCAAGCCAGGATATGGCACCTAGATGTCCATGGAAAGGGAGTTTAATATGTGTGATCCTCCAGCCCTCGCGTCGTTGAGTATGCATGTGAGAGGAAGCCAAAGGTTACCAAAAAAAACTGCACTGCAAGTCCATAGATACGTGCAGCCTTCTCGCTGCACTGCCATCTGCTGGAACCTCACTGTCCTTGCAGATAGGTGGCATTACAGCTCTGGGAGAAACTATCAGTCCCGCCTCCATATTGCTACATTTAGTGCATGGTGTCTTGTGTGTAATCTTTATTCAGATTTTGTAATCTCTTTTGAAGCTAAACAGAGTTGGTACAAATCATTACTGTATAGTATTTAGTTTGGCTACGCGTCCAGAAACTATCAGGGCTGCTGCTGTTCAGTGTCATTAAATGTTCAGTAGGGGGCATGCTGTACCCCTGGCCAGCGTGATATCACACTGATGCCTCCCCTAAATGTTGTGGGCTTGCTGTTTTAGGAGCAGCCAGTGGGATTATGATGCTGTGGCAAAGGGCCCGACTCGCAAATAGAATAAGGTTGCAAGTTTAAAATCCCATACAAGGGTTAGCCTACCAATCCTGTTGAGTTCAATAAAATTAGGTCCCGCTTTAAATTTTGATTTAAAGCTTTCGTGACTGCAGTAATTCATATTCTTAGTTCTTTCGGTAAAGTCACGTTGAAGGGAAACAACAAAATAATAAAATATATATAAAACAATAAAAATTCTCACGACGTTTCGACCATAACACAAACGGTCGTCTTTTTTATTGTTTTATATATTTTTTATTATTTAGTTGTTTCCCTTCAACGTGACTTTACCGAAAGAACTAAGAATAGGTCCCGCTTTGTTGAAAGTTTACAGTAGTCTTCTTCTGTACTGACCCTCGTCAATGTAATATCGAATTGCCAACGGAGATAATTACTGCCGCATTGATAATTATTTGAGCAGGGAGACACTAACTTCCCTATTATGAAGAGCCAGAAATAAGCATTGCATTTGTAACGTATGTTGAATTTCATTGGAACCGTACAGAGCCAACCGTGCTAATCGAAGGTGAATTAGATACATTAATTCGTCATCGGCTCGTTGTAGAGATGTAAAGAGCCAGGCTCCTAGTCTGTTCATCGTGAGAACTCATCCAAACAAGGCAAATGCCATCTTATGAATACTGCAATAATCTATTTCTGATCCATGTCTCCCTTGCCGAGTAAATGAATATCACCTGTTGTGGGGTGCCGACGCCCAGCGTGCGGGAGGGAAAGGGAGGGGAGCGGGGGAGGATGCAGGGGGGGGGGGGGCTCCATTGGGGGAGGGGTTTGGGGCGCAGTACGAGGTCCGCGAGGGTGAGAGGTGTAGGTTGGTGGGGTAAAGGGAAGGGTACGCGAGAGGGAGCCGTGATTGGGGGTGGGGGCCTGTGGGGTTGGGGGCACCCTGCGGTGGTCAGATGGGGGTGACGGGAGTATCGTTCAGCAATGGGTGCTTCCACCGGTATGTCGAAGAAAATATGTGTTCTGTATTTAATGTGCATGATATTCAATAAAAAAATGAAATGGCTGATTGGCCAACTGACCCGGCCAACTGGCCAGCCGCTTCCAAAGAATGTGTGGGGCTGCTCGTTTACATTAAATGAAAATATTTTTTTTATTTAAGCCCATCATTTATTCGAGTGTCTACAAGAGTTAAAATAGTCTCGCAACTATTTTACTTTAACTATATATTTAAACGCATACAGCATTGGACTGTAAACTGTTATGTAGTAAATATATTCAGAAACACCGTACTTTATTTGTTATTTTGACTGTTAAAAAGCTTAGTCGTCACCTTTCATACGGAAACTTTCTAAACGTGTACAAAAACAATGGTATTTCCACAAAAACGTGGAGGAAACGACTGAAAACCCCCTTAAAAAAAACCACAAAGCAGAGTTTGTGGGTAATAATAGCCATTTTCTATACTTTTGAGGCATAAGCAATTTGAAAACACTTCTAACCAGGCGCAAAAATCGTGTTACATAGTAATTATCTGCACGTATACGGCGTATGTACCGCTTTTAAGCAGGAATACATTATGCAAAAGAATAAATGTTCTCCACCTCCCATAAACATGACTCATTGGGATTTTTTTTATTACCTGGCAGCACTTGGCTCATGGCTTTCAACCTATCAGAGTGGCTGATGAAAAAAATACCCAACCCAGCAGTGCCAAGGCCCTATAAGTTCTCAGCAAGAGCCATACAGCACAGGTGTGTGTCTGCTATGTACACACACGTTCTCAGAGAGCGCTTATAACACTTTTACCACTTTGTTCAAGCCATGGAGGGGAACGCAGCTCTCAACAGCACATCAGAGGGCCCTGGCCTGCTGGAGTCTGGTTACGGTTCTGGTGAAAATGCCTCTGGGAAATATTCGGTGAGTCTGCAGTTTAAAACAATGTGGGGGTCCTGACCACCCCCCCCCCACCCCCGGTTCAGTAATTATTTCAGTGATGTCTGCCCCTGTGTGTTTCTCGATTTATTTAATGTATTTCACATCGGGTGTAAGCAACCAAGTTATTGTGCATTAGTCGGCAGTGTCCCCCATGGTAAAACAAGTGGCGTATGGCAAAGCGCTTCGTGTCTTTTCATGCTCCCGAGTCATTTCTTGAAGGTCCACATTCCTGTGGTTGGAGCAGTTCCATAGGACTTGCGAACGAATCGGGCTGTATAACCATAACTCGGTATAGTCGTGTAACAAGTGCATTATGAGTGCTATTAGCAAATCGACAACATGATTTGTTGTACTTCTGTTTATTTGAAATGTGCATGCTGCATTTACACACCTGTGTGTTGAGCAAATGCAGGCAGTACGTACAGGCACTAGCTAATGATTAGTTACCCAACCAGCCTTACAATTCGACTCTTGTTAGGTTAGAAGTCACGTGACCCACTATACATTATGTAACCGTCTATACAGTTCAGTTCAGTTTATTTTGGTATAGCCCTGTGAGCCATTCGGCTCTTGAATCGGGTGCAACCACAACAAACAAAAAACACGAACAAGAAAACATCTTAAAGGGACTATGTGACTGTGCAAACAGAAAATCCCTGAAAAAAAACAGCAAAATATTCCTGAAAAAAGCACCATACACCAACGCTGTGTGCAAAAAAATCCCAGTGGGATGCAAGTCAAACAAAAGCCACAAGAAAACTTAGATGAAGGCCATCAGTCTAACTTCGTACTACAACAAAACAAACATGTCCAAACCCAAAAACTTTTCGAAATCACCAAAAAATAAAGCCATAATTGCAACGTAACAGTGATCATAGGAACTGTGACCGAATTTTTACAATAAACTACATAAATAACATGTAACACCAAACCCTAGAGCCATAGCTGGCTGCATGAATTACTCCACAACAACAGAAGCATCAGTCGGAGTATCAACTTTTTCAATGTACCTTTAAGATCAGCACGCTAAATCAAACTACAGTTAATACTTTGCAGCATCATCCAGAGCGCAAACATTTTATTTGATTTTACGCCAATGAATAGCAGTTACAGCTAGGGGTGTACAACTCCTCTAGAGCAGTTTTGAGAGAAGATCTCATTGGTAGCGATTCAAGTTGCAGTTTATTGGCAATAGCATTCCTGGGGGCATCAATAGCAAAGGCCCTTCCTCCAGTTTTTGTACGGCAATAGGGAATGTGAAGCTGATAAATGAGCGAAGACCTGAGGTCAAATTTGTTCTTTGAAACAGAGAGGAGATACAGCAGGTAGTCTGCGGATTTTTTTGTAAGTACATCGTGAATAAATAAGATTTGGTGCACAAGCCGTCGAACATTAAGATACGTTAAGTTTGACCCAATGTAGAGATCACAGTGGTGAGTCCTATATGGGCAGTTCAATGTAAATCTTAAGGCCGAGTGATAGATGGAATCAAGCTTCTTCAGTACAGTACTTGGGGCTGATTTATACACGATGTCACAGTAGTCAAGTAGAGGCAGTATGGTAGCTTTTATCAATTCCAAACGGAACATTGGGGGGAAGCAGTGCTTGTGTGGATACAGAAAACCAATTTTTATGTTTGTATTTTTACCAATATAATCAATGTGATCTTCAAAATTCAGTTTTGAATCCAGGATGACCCCAAGATACTTATAGATCTTGACTTGCTCTATTTGATAATTATTTAAGGAATGTAATTGTGGAAAAAGAACTTCCTGCTTTAGTCCTGGTGAGAAGCATAGCACCTTGGTTTTGGAGGTATTCAGGACTAGTTTAAGAGCAACTAGCTCATGTTGTAGTTTGTTGAACAGAGCCTTAAAGGAGAATTAACCTAGATAAATTTTACAAACAGTGATGAATGTTAATTTATTCATAGTTTTAAAATGAAAGCATAACTCCCATGTATGATTTGGGTTTTTTCTCCTAGAAAACTGGGTGATAGTAACCTAAGGGGCTTCTCCAGATATTATTGAAGCCAGTTTCTAAACGAGAGTAGTAACTCATTCTTATATTCCTTTACAATTCATAGCATTGATACTTATATATAAACTTTGAAGGTATTTTCTTACTGTCATTAATATGTATGGCCAATCTCCTCGGGTTACGAACCTAATTCATTCCTGAGTCCCGTACGTAAGTCGGAACACAATATGATGTATTTAAACACCCGTACGTTCAGTATTGTTAAATGTGTTCGGGTTCAACAAAAAGGGAAGCATTGTTAAACTCATTAAAAATAAAATGTTCACATTTGCATGTTACACCTTTAAAAAATACAGTATAGTAAGTAAAATAGCATAAATAGAAAAACTTTTACTTTCATTTATCTTGAGTTCTGATGCTAGCTTGTAGGAAGGGCGGGGGAGGGCAATGATTCACCACAATTGCATACACAGACACACCTCAATGACAGCGATTCCCCATATGGCCTTAACAGACTGTTGGGGCAAGTGCTGTTCGCGAGAGCAAATACTATTAAGGCTGGAACAGTACACGAGTGGGTGGTTGGCCAGCTCCACGCCCGACCAACCTTTATCTCTAGTGATGATGATTACACACCGCGCTCAGTACTCATTTGAGGCTGAGTCGACCTAGGTAGGCTCAGGACCAGTTCAGATAATCGTCACTGGTGTTGGCCGTGAGCAAAACTCAAACTCGAGTTGCCGCTTCCGTAGTGCAGCGCGCTAACCGCTACAACTAGTGTGGCACATTAGGAATGGTCCACTCTTTTAAATACTTCCTTGTGCAGCAGAGGAGTAAAGTGTGGTTCTGTGAAAGTCCTGGTGTGCTGTGCAGTACATCAAAGCATGTGTGTACACCAGCATGCGATAACGGAGTTGGGCCTGTAGGGGGCTGGCAGGGTTATTGTTTAACCGCACTTGTACACCAGTCACGTGGTTAATGGCGACTCGGTTGAAGAATTGCTGTGTGTAACACACGTGCGATTGCATCTTACAGGTAAAGGACCCAAAGGTTGTTTTTGATCGTTATAGAAATGTTCTAGACTTGTTCTAGACTTCAAGCTTGGCTTCGAATTGTTTGTGATATATCCAATAGGAGGGGTTTTAGCACTGTGCATTGTAAAGGATGCCGCACTGTAATTACATACTGTAATTGTAATTCTCTAACCCTAATACTGTTTAGTCTATAACCATGCCCATGCACCGAGAGTATCACTACTTGCAATGCTATTGAGAATAGAACACATGTATAGTCGTAAGTGGTACAATGGTGACACGTGCAGTACGTATATTGTACACATACAGTACAGGTTAAGGGTGTAAGATACCGATATAAGTGGATGGTATAGATAGACATACAGCTTAGGATTAAAGTAATATGCGAATAGTGAAGTGCAAAGGTTATTGTCAAAGACGAAGATGGCTTATCAGTAGTAGAATTGGGTTTAAGAAAACTTATTGATTTAACGGCACGTGTAGACCAGTCACATGGTTAATGTCGATTCAGTTTAAGAATTGCTGTGTGTGACACACATGCTGTTGCATCTTACAGATTAAACACAATAAATGTGTTTGCCCTCGATTTGGAGCACCTGCCCACGTCCTTCATTTCGAGTGTGCAACACTACCACTCCCCACACAACAACAACTGCCATTCGCCACTAAGTGGCATGTGCACCTTGAGGCCACGTGAAGTGTCGAACGCCCGCTGGCAGGAGGTCACGGGGCAGACCCAAGTGCCACGGGTCGACTGACTAAGGTGACTTAGATGACTGGCTGATGCACCACCTGTGCCCCCTACTGTGCCAACCTGCTGTGCTTTAGCCACCCGGCGCTCCGCTCGTTGTGAGCGTCACTCCTCCGCCCTTCGTTGTTGTTGGAGGGCGACTGCCTCCAACTGCCCAGTAACATCCTTCAGAAGCCTCCTCCAAAGAGGCCGATCTTGACACCGCTGGTATCAGTCATCGGCAAGTCCACTCAGCTCCACATCCTCCTGTACCACATCACTCCATCTCTTCTCTAGCCCATGCCGCGCCCCTCGATCCGGCCGAACAAAAGCTGTTTAGGCATGCGGTCGCTGGGCATGCGGGCTACATGACCCAGCCAACGCAGCTTTGCCTGCCGGAGGAGCTCACCGATGGGACCTTGCCCAGATCTTTCAAGGATTTTGCGGGCTCCTCACACAATCCAGCCTGGTTAAACCCAGGATGGATCGTAGGCAGGCTAGCCTAAATGTTTCTTACTGTGAAGATGTTCCATTAGGGGGGTCCACGTTTCGCAAGCGTAGAGAAGGGAGGGAATGACCGTGGCCGAGAAGACCTGAAGCTTAGTGCGGAGCGACAGACCAGGTAGCTTCCACACAGCGTTACGCAACCGATGAAAAGATATTGCCGCTTGACTGATTCGGAGTGAGACCTCTGCTGTTAAACTGGAACCGGTTATAAGCACACTGCCCAGGTATGGGAAACTCTACCTCTCTCCACAACTGCCCCATCATCGATTGGGAGTTGGGCAGGTGGAGTTTCCGATGGTACAAAATACCCAGGCAGGTGCTTAGTTTTAGTGGGGCTGATGGTAAGGCCCCATCTCTTAGTGGCACGCTCCAGTCTCAGCAGCAGCGTCTCCAACTCCTCTGAATGAGCAGCTATTACTAAATCATCGGCATACGTAACGTAGTTGAGCAATAGGGAGCCATCCCGTGACCGCACCCGGGCATCGATCAGCCTCCCATTATATCTGTACCAAATAGGGATTCCCCCGGTACAGCTATTGAAGGCTTCACGAACTACGTGGTCAAAATAGATGTTAAATAATGTGGGAGCCAGAGGACATCCCTGTCGCACCCCAAGGTGTACAGGGAATGGCTCTGACTCCCGGCCATGTAGTTTTACCCAGGCCCGCTCACCATCATGAAGGTCCTTAATGATCGTGAGCAGAGGGTCAGGGACTCCAAAAGCACGAAGA